AGCAGAGTTAGAATAATCATAACCCAGGAAAACCAAATAATTTCAGAAAAAAGACTACTAGGATTGCTGAGGCATTGTGAAACTACAGAGCTCATTGGAGATTTCACCGGCGATTTCCACAAATCTTGAAGTTACCTGCCTAGAGCTGGAATTCAGATTCTTTCCTCCAACATTTAGAGCCACAGGAAGCTAAGAAATTAATTTGCAAAATTAAAAAAGATGGAAGAAAGAAAAAAAAGATTCATTATGGGCCGTTAATTGCCTTGAAATAGAAGAGGTTTGGTAGATGATATGGGAAAAAATGTGTGAGGCATGGTGGTTCTTGCGCTCGGAAAGACCAGGAATAGGCCTAGAAAATTATGGTTCAGGGCAAGACACCATCCTGGATGAATGGTATGTGCAGTGGGCATATAGGTTTTGAAGAGGAAGACGAGACCATTTTTACCTCAAGTGACAGGGAAGCAGATGGTTCTTGAAAAAAGAGGCTAGTTTTCTATCAGTGGCAAAGGAATTCTAGGTGAAGTGAGTAAAGCAATCAAATATCTGAAGGAAGGAAAATGACAAGCACGTAAGCAAAGTGGTGACTAGACATTTCTATTAGAAGTGATGAATAAAGCTGGAAGTGTCTGAAGGCCCGTCTGTGAATTTGGTACTTGACTCTGTAAGCAACAGGGAAATTTCCAGGCTGAAGTGACACGATCACACTTCTAGGAAGGCACTGCATGGTGCAACCTTGGTTTCCATGCCATCTCTTCCCTTTCTACTTATACTGTTTGAGTGACACGGGTGCCTTCCAGCTCCTAGAGCATACATAGTTCTTCTCTGTCTTCCAGCCTGTGTGACAATCTGCCTGGAATATCTCACCTTTACTTTCCACCACAACAAACCCCTGCTCACTAAATTTGCAGCATGTTTCTCATGGTTGTTTACTGACTGTGACTAGTCTGACCTTTCATGCATGAGATTGTAAACTCCTTGAAGGCAGAGGCCATGGCTATTCTACTTACTATTATCTGGGCTCTCACACAACTCTGGTACACAGTGTGTCCACAACAAAACTGTTGAATGAGCGGGTGAACTCATCTGGAGGTGGTTTACCAGATGACTTAGTTTAGCAAAGAGACTAGGAACAAACTGAGCTAGTGTTCCACATCTTCACATGTGAACACCTACTGTATGGCAGGCTTTCTGAAAGATGCTGATGAACGCAGAGATGGAGAAATGTGATGCTGCCCTCAGAGTGGCCAGATTCAAGGGAAAAAGGCCAATGTGTTGACTTGACACTGAACTAGACTGTGATAAGCTTGCACAGGGTCTGACAATTAGGTTCACAAACTTGCCACTGTGTGCTTACGTTGGAAGCACTGTACAAACAACTCGGTAAGGTTTTATAACCTTGGTACATCAGTGTCTGACAGCTGTATTCATATCAGTGTGTGGTGGTGTCTTGCTGAGTGGCGTTCATTATTGTTGTTGCATGTTTTTGTGTGCCATTGCAACTATGTCAGAGCTTGAGTTAGAGCAACAAACAAATCTTAAATTTCTTGTTAAACATGGCGAGAGTGGCAGTCAAATTAGAGACGTGTTAGTTCAAGTTTATGGGGCTAATGCCATGAGGAAAACAGAGGTCTACAAATGGATTAAATGTTTTTCTGAGGAAAGAGAAAGTGTCACCGATGAGGAGAGGTCAGGATGACCAGTAACGAGCAGAACTGACAAGAACATTGCAAAAATCATAGAATTGTGCGTCAAAATCATCAGCTAACTGTGAGGTGCAGAGCAGACCAAATAAACATCAACAGAGGAACAGTTAGGAAGGTCCTTTTTTGGGCTATTACAAAAGTTTGTGTAACAAAAAGTTAAATACGAAAATGTACATGAGTCACTTTTACATCAAAGTAAAACAGGCCCTTTGGAGAAAGGACACTGAACATGATGAAAAGCCATTTATACTCATTCCAAGGCTTCTAACATGATGATACTATTTCACCACACTACCACCATGCCAATATTGTTCTATTGCCCACTAGTTGCCAACTCCACACATTCATCTATCACAAGATTCATAAAGGGATCAAATCCCCATAATAGTCCTTGGACATGTCTGCCACTATTTAGTTTCAACGATAACTTCTTGTCCATTAATTTTTCCAACTTGACAGGATGAGCTTTGCTCATGGTGTTGGCTCTGTGGGCTCAGAGATGAGGAAAATCTTTTTTTAAAAAGAAATTCATGAATTATTTTATTTATGGGTTATTTATTATTTATTTATTTATTGTGAATTTTTATTTTTTTATATTTTAAAGATGTGGGGTACAATTCAAGGATAGGTATACAAGTGATCACTATGCATGTACCCTTGTTGATGAGGTGTGGAGATGAGGAAAATCTTCACTGAAAATTTTGGCATGAGAAAGTTGTGTACAAAAATGATCCCAGAGGAGCTCTTGCATCATGACCGTGCACCAGCTCACACAGCACTGTCTGTGAGGGAGATTTTAGCCAGTAAACAACTGTATTGGAACACCCTCCCTACTCACCTGATCTGCCCCCAAATGACTTTTTTCTTTACCCGAAGATAAAGGAAATATTGAAAGGAAGACATTTTGATGCCATTCAGGACATCAAGGGTAATACAATGACAGCTCTGATGGCCATTCCAGAAAAAATTCCAAAATTGTTTTGCTGACAAACTAGGTGCTGGCATTGGTGCATAGCTTCCCAAGGAAAGTATTTCCAAGGTGACCCTAGTGATATTCAGCAATGAGGTATGGAGCGCTTTTTCTAGGCTAGTTCGTGAACCTGGTTGTCAGACCTCATAAGAAGTAGGCATGGTATTCCCATCAGGGAGGGAGTGAACAGCGTTACCCAGGAAGGCTTGGGCAGAGCCTTACCAGAAGGTGGTTTCACATGCCCAGGTGTGGAGAGGTCAGACATGTGAAGGTCTGACGAATCTGGAACCCAAGAGAACAGGCTCTAGGTTTTGAACTGGGATCTGAACTTAAATTGCTTTCGTGTGAGAAGGGCAATTTGCTTCGAAGTTCCTACTGTTAAATTCCTGGTCTTCGTGACTATGATGCCAACTCTGTCTTATCCACCCGGTCTCCTTGAGTTGATTTCCAATGTTGGCTTCCTGCTCTGGGGAGGGGAAGGCTGAGGCAGCCTTCTGCCCCTCCTCCGTGACTGGCCTGGGCTTGCTTTCTCTGTGCTGGCTACCTTATCTCTCGCAAACAATATTCTGGGAGTTGTGCGGATGGCAAAGGGGTTGAAATCCCCTGGGTCTGGAAAACCTGCTTCTTTTTGCTGTGTATCAAGATATTTCATGTATAACATAGGAAAATGTGCTTGTGCTTGCTGCTGTGACGTCATGCTCAATATCATTTGGGCTATCGGTTCACATTGAGAAACCACCTAGTTTGTGATGACAAATTGTATTTATTTGGCAAATTCATCTGTACAATAGAAATAATAATGAGGATTAAAAGAGTCTTTATAAATCATTTAGAGCTATGCCTGGCACCCAGCAAGTGCTTTGTAAATAGTTAACTCGCAATTCTCATAACTCTGAGTTATATACTATTATTATTTCTATTTTAATGATGTAGAAATTAATGCATAAAGAGATGAAGTCGATTTTTCTAAGGTCATGCAACTTGTTAATGGTGGATTAAACCTAAAGAATCTGGCTAGGAAATGTATTCTCTTAACCACTTGGCATTGCTGCCTCAGTGCTTATGGCTAATTGTCTTGGGGTGATTGTAGGTTGGCTGATTGATCTAAGATAAAAAGCTACCTTTACAGTATAGAAGATTTATTTTTAATATTAAATAATCTCCTCATTATAATGCTCTTTTCTTTTCTTTTCTTTTTTTTGAGTCAGAATCTTACTCTGTTGCCCAGGCTGGAGTGCAGTGGCATAATCATGGCTCACCACTGCCTCCTGGGCTCAGGTGGTCCTTCCACCTTAGCCTCCTGAGTAGCTGGGACTACAGGTACTTACCACCATGCCTGGCTAATGTAAAAAAAGTTTTAAAAAATTTTTTGTAGAGACGAGGTTTTGCTTTGTTGCCCAGGCTAGTCTCAAACCCCTGGGCTCCAGCAATTTTCCTGCCTCGGCCTCCCGAAGTGCTGGGATTGCAGGTGTGAGCCTCTGCACCTGGCCTATTAGACATTTTTCTATAAGCTAATTACCTTATGTGAAGACAGGCATATTCTCTTTGGATGAGGAAATGATGTCTTTATACTGGTTTCTGTCAAATACTTCAATGGAATAAGTCAACAAGTGCAACGTATTATAGCTTTATTCAGTGATTAAATAGAATGGATTACTTGGCCGGGTGCAGTGGCTCAAGTCTGTAATTCCAGCACTTTGGGAGGCTGAGGCGAGTGGATTACCTGAGCCCTCGGGTTCGAGACCAGCCCGGGCAACTTGGTAAGCCCTCATCTCCACAATAAACCAAAAAAAAAAAGCCGGGTGTGGTAGCATGCGCCTTTAGTTCCAGCTACTTGGAAGACTGAGGCAGAAGGATCGCCTGAGCCCAACAGATTGAGGCTGCAGTGGCTGTGAGTATGCCACTGCATTCCAGCCTGGATGACAGAGTGAGACTCTGACTTAAAAAAAATGAAATACTTTACTGAAGAACTAATCTTTTACTTTGTTAATTTATGTTCTACTTACCTCATCTGTACTAATTTAACCAATTATAGAACATCCCTCGTTTGTACTGTGGAAAAAAATAGACTATTTCTCTGTACCATGCTCAACTTTACAGTGGTACCAGAAACAAATCTCAGGGTTTGATAAATGAAACTATTTGAATCCTGATAACTTGACCATTCATTATATAAATAATTAACGAGTCCATATTGTAAAGGGAGGCAGTTAAGATGTTGTAGTTAGACAAATTCCTACTTATGGTGAATTCTATAATATATTTTAATGTCTTTTATAAATATGATTGCGTAGTCAGGATGTTCAGACCGGTTAAGTGATAGAATCTTGTTTATCGTTATATCCTTAACTGCTGCAAGCAGTGTATACACTTGGTAAGTATTGAAGAATGAATGAATGCATGATGGCTCGTTCTCAATTTGGGGACTCCGTTCTATGTCAGTGTGCTCTACCTGGATCCAGGAACTCTCTAGTCAACTTGCACATATGAATCCCATGAGAAACTTCAAACCGATGCCCAGGCCTCACCCCAGACTTGTATCTGTTTTAGGTGGTGAGATAACAGCATTAAACACACAGGCAAGTTCTTGCTCGTGTTGAGGTGATGTTATAATCAGGGAGATTGAAAGCATATAAATAACTGTAAAATATAACAGACGGTGTTAGAAACCAAAGGGGAAAAAAAGCAGCATCAGGTAGATGTCTAAGTCAAAGATACTTAAGTCTTGAAAGACCCCTACATTTGACATGGCTGTCATCTCAATTATTGGCCTGGGAAAAACCATTTTCTCTTCATCCTCCCCTGTCCCTTCCCCCATTTTGTTTCTTTATCCTGTGCTGAATTGTGATCCACATGCACTTTATGCTTCTATTTCTGTAGCTTCCAGCCATTAACTTCGATAGTGCCCAAAATAGCATGACGAAGTCTGAGCCCACCATCAAGGCGGGTGGACACAGAGCTCGAGGTCAGTGGCACGAATCCACAGAAGCTGTTGAACTTGAGAATTTTAGGTAAGAAATCCAGTGTCTCCCCTGCCTTCAGCAACCTATTCTGGTTGGCCCAAAGTTTTATTTCAGTTTATCACAGGAGCTAAAGTTTAAAACCCATTTCAAGATTTACCATGGAGATTCTTAATTTAACATTTTTGGTTGGTGCTTAAGCCGTTCCCAGAAATAATGTGTCAATAGCAGGCCTAATGGTTACAGGTGGAACCGACCTGGGCGTTTGAGGACATCGTGCTGATGTGTATTTGGCATTTGCTCCAGGAGGAAGTGGTTGGTTCCAGATTGTTGACCTGGCAAGTCTGATTCCAATCTTTGTCTTAGCTTTTGGTCTGTCTAGATCTTGCCAATATAAAGAATAAAAGAGGCCGTTGTTGTGAACAGATAAGGTGGTTAAAGAAGGCACTTGCCAAAACAGCTGAGGTTTTCAGTTGAAGAAGTAGCACCTCACCTTCAACACTGAGAACGTCAGCCCGTGTTTATCTCTATCGCCATGGAGAACTCCTGGGCTACTACCCCCCTCTCAGGAGCTGGTTCTCTCAGTTTTACCAAGTGCTTAGGTCGTTTGGCACTAAGGGCTGTGTAAATAATGAATGACATGGAATATCTATATGAGTATTCTAGAATAATCATTTGTTTATTTGGCCTAGATTTTATTTCTTTGCCATTTTATGACAATGAATTTACTCGTCCAGAAAAGTCACATGGCGTTACATAGGCTCATATTTTAGAAATATATTTTCACTGGGCAACTTGGCAAGACTTCATCTCTACTATAAATAAAAAAATGTGTGGAGAGTGGTGGCATGTGTCTGTAATCCCAGGAGGCTGAGGTGGAAGGATTGCCTGAGTCCAGGAGGTCAAGGATGTGGTGAGCTGTGATCATGTCACTGCACTTCAGCCTGGGCAACAGAGTGAGACTCCAACTCAAAAAAAAAAAAAAAAAAA